ATATGGAAGCACGAAAAACCTCAGATAGCCAAAGCAATCCTGACCACTAAGAGCAATGCCGGGCGGATTACTATACCAGATTTTAAGCTGCATTACAGAGCTGTGGTCATAAAAACAACATGGTACTGGCACAAAAATAGACCCATAGACCAATGGAACAAAATTGAAGACCCAAATATGAGTACATACAATTTCTGCCACCTGATATTTGACAAAGGGGCCAAGAACATTCACTGGAGGAAAGAGTATGTTCAGCAAATGGTGCTGGTAAAACTGGATCTCCACCTGTAGAAGAGTGAAACTAAACCCCATCTTTCCACCTTGCACAAAAGTCAATTCCAAATGGATCAAAGACCTCAATGTAAAGCCTGAAACTCTGAAACTGTTAGAAGAAAACATTGGCAAAAACCTAAAAGATAAAGGTGTAGGAAAGGATTTTCTAAACCAAACATCAATTGCCCAGGAAACAAGGTCAAGAATCAACAAATGGTACCTCATTAAACTAAAAGGCTTCTGTACATCAAAGGAGGCAACCAGGGAAGTGAAGAGAAAACCCACAGAATGGGAGAAAATCTTCACCAGCGACAGATCTGACAGAGGTTTAACATCCAGAATATATAACAAACTCATAAAACAGAGAATCAAGACAGGAAGTAACCCAATTAAAACATGGGCTAAGGAGCTGAAAAGAGTTCTCAAAAGAAGAAGTAAAGATGGCTAATAAACATCTTAAAAGATGTTCAACATCACTAATAATTAGGGAAATGCAATTTAAAACCACTGTAAGATTTCATCTTACTCCAGTCACACTGGCTAAGATCAAGAGAAAAAAAAATGATACCAAATGTATCATTTGGAGAGGATGTGGGGAAAGGGGAACACTTATCCACTGCTGGTGGCGCTGCAAACCTGTTCAACCCCTATGGAAAGCAGTGTGGAGAACTCTTAAAAAACTACAAATGAACCTACCATGTGACCCAGTCATACCACTCCTTGGCATATACCCAAAGAACTCATCCTATTTCAGAGACACTCTTACATCCATGTTTGTTGCTGCTCTTTTCACAATGGCTAAGAGATGGAAGCAACCTAAGTGTCCCTCAATTGACTAGTGGATAATGAAAATGTGGTTCATTTATATGATGGAGTTTTACTCAGCAGTAAAGGAAGGTGAAATCATGAAATTTGCAGGTAAATGGATGGAACTAGAAACTGTTATACTAAGTGAAGTAACACAGACTCAGAAAAAAACTGGACATATGTTCTCCCTCATATGTGGATCCTAGAATCAAATCCTGATGAGTATGTATCCAGACAGAACTACAGGAACCAGGATAATGGAAAGGAACCAGGGAGGTAAAGGAAAAGAAAGAACCTGAAAGAGAAGAACAGTAGGAAACAGGCGTTAATAAGGGAGATATGGATAAAAATTGGGTTCATTCAAGGGAGGGGGGAGGGAAGGGTATACAAGGAACCTAGGGGATAAAGGGAAAGGAGCTCAAGAGAGGTAGGACCATAGGAGAAGGGTATCATTAAGGGAGAAACGGGGAAAATGGGGCCACCCTAATTGGGGAAACCATGATGGAGGGGTTAGACAATGTGAGAGATAAATAATGCCTAGCTAGTTTTAAAAACCAGAGGGAACCATATTAGTCCAACAACCTACTGACAAATTATACATAGCAGATCAAGAAATATGTGTCTAGGTAAGGTTTATCTGAGAACAACTGGTCTTTGCCCAAGATTTATCTACATGGCACACAGTAATTAAAAGTACCAGACTGGTGGAACTAACCTTCTTGGATGTTTAACAGACATACTTTGAGGCCTATAATAATTTGGTCAGAGGGACATAAAGGACACTTTTTGCTCCTTGCCCTCCTAGGTCGACTAGTTCCAGGGGACTATGAGCATCTCCCAAAATGTCCTGTAGTTGTGGTAGGTCACCTGTCCTCTTGATCAAGGAGGCCAAGGAGACCCCACGAGATGGACTTGAACCAGTGTCCAGTCTACAAAGAGGAAGGTCAACACAGAGGAATCATTTCCTCCATGCTTCCAAGCGAAGCTAGCCATGGTCAAGCAGGACCTTTGACTTATCTTCACATAGGTGGAACTGGTAAAAGAAAGGAGCCAGGGGCTCCTCCCAAGCCCATGTGATCCCTGACGAACAGATCCTCAAACGACCTTAAGAGTAAAAATAAATTTAGTTTATCTTGGCCAACTGTATGGCCTTAAACACCCAAAAGGAAAGTATAACCAAAGATTAAAGGGGCCAATATAATTTTT